AGGCTGAAACTAAATATTTGTCGGCAACACCGATTGACATTGTTTTATTTGTTTTCCTTTTCAAATATTACTACAACCTTCAAAATACACAATTCTGGGAAAGATCGCCCTTATATTATTGAAAATGTGGTTATTTTCCATTACTGGAAACATTAAGCAAAAAATCGAATATCGAAAAACCCGCCATTAATCCATCCAATTCAAAGCGATTTGTACAATTTTTTAAATTAGCATAATTTTCATAGCTGTCAGTTTTGAAATGCTATATTATTGACATACATATAAACGACAAATTCTTCCCTAACAAACAGTGAATGTTTCATCCAAATATCTAAACTCATTTTAAAGTTATAGCCATTTGAAGTTGACCTTGTGGCAAAAATATAGCGGCTACACGATTCTGTTTGCCTGGTACCTCAAATTGGAAAAATGAAGAAATTGCATTTCCACTAAAAGCAGAAAAATGCAGCAGCAACATTGCCGTATTGTGTTATGCTTGAGTTATGATATACGTTGGTAAATTATGAGCATACTTTCAGGCGCACCACTTACATAGAAACGTATAAGGAGAATGTAGTGGTAAACGGTTTTAATGTAACGTCTAAAAGTATGCTCATAATTGACCTACTAACATCAATAACTCTATGCAAGCGATCTGGTAACACAGCTAGCTGGCTGCCTTCTTCGGTTTTTTGCCATATGCATTTCAGCCATTTTTCCACTTTTAGATACTAGGCGAACAGAATCGTGTAGCCGCTATATTTTTGCCACAAGGTCAACTTCAAATGGCTATAACTTTAGAATGAATTGAGGTAGTTGGATAAATCTTTCACTATTTATTAGGGAAGAATGTGTCGTTTATACGTATGCCAATAAATATTGCAATTTCACAACTGAGAACTATGAAAATTTTGCTAATACGACAAAATGTCCGCATTGCCTTGAGTTGCTGTATGGATGGCGGCTGTTACCAAAGTTTGATATTTGATTTTTGTTTAATGTCCCCAGTAATGGGAAATTAACAAAATTGCAAATTCGCTTCAACACTGCAACTCTGCTGTTTTGACATAATTCCCAAGTAACAGGTATGTCTTATGTTAGTTATTTTCAAGGCCCTTGGCAAATGTGTGCAATAAAGTGGTTGTAATCAGGGATGGTCCGTGTGACGAATTTTTAGGTTTTCGACTGCCAAAAGGTGTAAACGTCGAAAACGTCATATACCTGTATAAAATGTAATAAATGTAGTAAACGCCATTTATTTCAATATTATCAGCATATAAAGTTATTTTCAAGAATATATATTATTTTTATATATATCTGACTATTCCTTGCTAGAACTGATAAATTTCTAGAAAATTTTCAAATTTTTTATGGATTTGAGTAAAGCATACGTAATTTCCAAATTGATTAATGGAAATAACTATTTTGTCAAAAACCTAATGAATTTGGGTAGGTTTCCGACGTTTCTGACGTATGTATTATACGTCGGAAATGTATGTCATTTACGTCACTGTTTCTGACAGGCCATCTCTGGTTGTAATATAGAATCTGTTTATCGGAGTGTTAAAATACCCCCCAGCCAATATTAATCCCTATGTAATGATCCCTAGACTCAGGAGTGAATCTAGCCTGTAGCTCTTGTTAAAAAAGAGCATTATAATGCATTACTAAAATTGTATATGATTAGAATGAAAACGACATATATGCGCATACCTAAACTATAGCAGTTCGGATTCTCAAAAGGCAAAAGCTCTGATCGCAAACTATGTTTTTAAGAAAAGGTTCTTGTTTTGACATAGCTTCCATATTCGTCATAAGTTCTGCACCATTTTATGTATTTTTAAGGTTTTAGCCGCATTTATGAATAAAAGTGCCGGAAATGTCGCATGGTATAACGTAGCTTCAATCAAACTACCAGTTAAGTGGGCTTAAAGGTCCGAGTCGCACTGTTAGACACAACCCTCCCAATTATCTAAAATTTTAATATTTAAACTATACTAGGATAAATGGGGTGTCATTTCAATATTATTGAACATTTAAGGAGACATACGAATTTTGTGGATCAAATGCAGCTTTAGAGGCCTCATTGCCCTCAGAAAAAAAAATGGAGCCAATTCAATATTATTTTCTTCTTTGAGGAAATGTGAATGTTGCCCTACCCAATGGGAGACAACATTTCTCGTTTAGATGTAAAATAAAATTTATTATTTCCGGACTATCGGCTACAACTCAGATCGCAAAAACAAGTTCCTGCTAAAACCGATTTTCACATAGACATTGAATTATTTTTGATATTATATGTTTTGGTACCTTCCACCATAGTATGGAGGATATATTTATTTTATAATTACGTTTGTGACCCATCGGAATATTCATTTTCGACCCTATAAAGTATCGATATTCTTGATCAGGGTAAAATTCTAAGACGTTCTAGGCATGCAGGTAATGTAGGGGCAGCCACCATATAGAGGTACCTCTATATTTTTATATTTTCGGTTTTTATAAACGTTTCAAGTTTTTTTTTTTTTTTTTTTTTGGTCGAATTATCTGTAATTGAGTATTTTGCCTTCTAAATGGATACTAAATATTCCCGCCAAAAATTATCACTATCGGTGCTTTATTTTGGGTAGCCCCCATATAAGGGGCTACAAATTATAAATATCGGTCAACTTTTTGGGCTGGACTCCATATAACGGCAAAATATACGGACCTTGAGGTTATTGATCAAGCCTTTCTATTGAATTGACTGCGAAGTTGTATGTTGGATACAAAATTTTCATACCAAAAATTATAAATATTGATTCACATTTCCGGGTAGCCCCCACATAACGATTCCTCCAATTTTGCGTTATTTTGAATATTTTGGACACGAATTTTTAATCGAATTAACTGAAATTTAGTATTTTGGGTTCTCATTCGATACCAGATCTCTCTACTAAAAATTATCTATATTGGTCAACTTTTTTACCTGTAATTTAGTATTTTGGGTTATCAGTGGGTACCACAATATTGGTCTAATTTTTTGGGGAAGACTTCATATACCTCAAAAACTCGGTATTTAGAGTTTTTTAAATGGGTTCTTACAACAGAATTCGCTGTAATCAATTTTTATGAATTCCTATTGGATTGTCCTCATATAACCGTATTCCACCAGGGTGTTTGGAACTCCAGATTGTCAGTTTATATCCCATAAAATATGAAATTCTATGACGATTTAGACCGTCTGTATGTCTGTTGTAATTATACCGCGATTCACAATTAGACATCGCCCCTTAAATTGATTATTGATAGGAAAAGTTGTAATCAAAAGTCATTGCAATTTATTATACGGACGTCGAATATTTCATTCTTTGGCACTTTGTACGAAAAATGAAGTTTCATGTTGCTTTCATACAACTTGTTAAAAAAATACTGAAAAATTTCTATGAAAAAATTAGTAATATTTTTTGTCCCACATTAAGGTATCTATATTCCGGGTATATATTATATATATATTGATTTCTTTTGTTCAGTGATGTATACTAGAATTTGATGTAGAATATTTTTGTCTTTTATACAGTCCTTCTAAAACGACAACTAGTTCCAAAAATGATACAAACTCGGAATAAGATCGGTTCTAAGCCTAAAATTAGTTTTCTTATTTTTAAGATTTTTGACGTTCAGATTGATTTTTGTGTTTAAGTCTATTCGGAGACTTATTTTGCAACTTCATTGCGGACATTTTTGAAGAATATTCCGACCTGCTATATTCCCGTTTTAAATGACTTTTCAATCATTTTTTGAAATGGACCCCGAAAAAACCTTTTCAGAGTGTCGTCGGAGGGTTATCGTATTCGACAAAAATATTCTTTACATTTATATCAGTAATATTGACAAAGACACCACATACCTAAAATGCAAGGATTTCGAGAAATTCAAATCCGAATACATTAAAATGTCTTACAAAACGCCGATACACGTGTCTTCTATTTTTAACCCCTCTATATATATATATATATTTTTTTTAACTTCCCGACAATTATTTCTTGTATTGTACAGTGTAACTTGAAATTATTGCAAATTTATAAGTCTTTTATGTTTTCCGAATTTAAATTTTAACGCATTTTTTTTCTAAGTAAAAAATTCTACCCTGTTGATAGAATTTTTCAAGTGTAACAAAAACACATGCTAACTGATATTTCAACCATGAAAATGTTTTTCTTTTTTTGTATGTCCCTAAAAATGTAGATATTTACAATCAATCTTATGTTCTAAATACAAAACAGGAGAGAAAGACAGACTGAGAGAGAAAATTTGAAAAAATAATAAAAAAAACGAAAAGATTTTTGTTTTCTTGATTTCATTTATATATATGTATGTTTGTTTTTTTTTTTGTAGCAGAGTACTAGTACTAGTTGTTGTATGTTATATATCAACCTACAAACGTCATATGGACGAATTTGAAGACAACAGTAGAAAATAAATAAATAAATAAACAAATAAAGCTAAACAAAAACAAATTCTAAAAAAAAATTTAAAATATATATGTATAGGAAAAAGTCTACAACCACATATTTCACTATGATGATGAGTTCTTCTTCGAATCGATTCCGTTCGTCTTGTAAGGATATACAGGTGATGATGTTGTTGCTGTTGTTACTATTGCTATAGTTTACTTTGGTTTCCGGTACACGTTGATTGTTTATGCATCACTTTTTTTCTTGTTGCAGGATACTTTTTTTCATTCTCCCTTTTGTTGAAATTGCTGTTATCCTTTCGGATGATCCTTTGGTATTTGTTGGTTCGGCAGATGCAATTGCAACTGCATATTTTCATGGGTATTATGTTTGAGGGTGGCTGGGGGGAGGGGGGTCTTTGCTTGCTTGGGAGATGGATGTCTGTGTGCGTGTGAATAGGGACCAATATGATGCGTGGTGGGGAGCGGAAAAGTTGATGTGAATGCTTCAGTATTATTTTACGCTTACATGCAACTATTGTTGTTGTTGACTTTCATGCTTCCTTCAGACCATTGTGTGAGTGGTGGAGGAGGTGTTGCTGGTTGTAGTTGTGATGCCTGTGGATTGTGATGCGGTTGTTGTGGATGTTGTTACTTGTCCCGTACTGGCATTGCTGTTCGTATTCGCAGTGGTTTTGTTATTGTTTTTATGCCATTTGTTGACATATGCTAGGGGTATTTCAATTTGTATTTCCTGAATATTTTCATCGCCATCATCGTCGTCGTCATTGTCCGCAGCAACACCTGCTGCTGCTGGTCCGCAACTATCCAGATAACGGCCACCGAGGCCTCGGGTGCCGCCTACACTACTGACACCATCATTCGCTTTGAGAAAACTGCTGGATTTATCCTTAACACTAAATTCACCGCCACCACCTCCTGTGGCACTGGTGCTGAAATTCTTCCATGTATCCAATGTACGTGATGGTGTACACAACAGGTTTGTGGTTTGGTTTGTCGACAATGAGCCACCGCTACCCCCGCCGCCAGTACCCAACAAATGGAGATTTTGCATTGATGCTGATGTGGGTGTGGGTGTAGGCGCCAATAGCGCCCCATCCCTACATTATAAACTTTCGACTAGTTGACTGGTACGCCTCTGGGCGTGGCTAGCATTCAAATAGCTTTCCGAATAGACACTTTTCGCCCGATTATCATAGCGCATACTGCCCCGCCGCATATCCATATCGAGCGCCATGTGTCGATCACGCCACCAATTGCAAAACAAACACTGCAGGGTATTTCGAAATGCCTCTCGAAAGTCACGATTGAAATAAGCGTATATCAGTGGATTCAGTGTCGAATTGAAATAGCCAATCCAGAAGAGTATGGCCACCACAATTTCGGGTACATCACATTCATCACAGAGTGTGGTAATTGTGTACCTGCAAAGAAACACCGGGGAGAGAAGAGGGGGAGAGATTATAAATTTAGAAATTTCAGATGATTTAGCAATTTAGAGAAATTTGTTATGAGCTAATTTAAAAAAAAAATATTAAAATAAAATTAAAAATATTTTTAAGGACTTCTATAGGCGTGGGTTTTTAAAACTGTTTAAAAAATATGATTAAAACAAAATGTTAATGTCTTGTAGGGACTTATATAGGCGTGCATTTTCTAAAGAATATTTTTTCAAGGGGTCTATACAAGGCATGGATTTTTTTAAAGAATATTTTTTCAAATGGTCTATACAAGGCATGGATTTTTTTAAAGAATATTTTTTGCATCATCAGATTGAATAGTGAGCTAATATGTGCCGCGAGTTCGCCCACAAGAACTATAAGAAAATGGGTTGAGGAGTCGGGTTAGTTGCCCACTCTCGGAAAACCCAACCTACTATGAAAAAGCAAAGAGAAAGAAAACCAAACCCCCCTAATGTTGACGACCCCCGCAAACGTATAAAGAACCACGATATGCGAATCTGCACTTGGAATGTTCGCACGTTGTACAGAACAGGCGCAGTGTTCGCTTTGGTGGATGTACTCACGAAGTACGAAGCCGATATTATTGCCTTACGGGAAATGCGATGGAAAGGGACAGGCGTAAGTAAATCAGACGATTTCGCCCTGTATTATAGCTGTCATGAAACGAGACGTGAATTTGGCTGCGGATTTATGGTTAGCAGGAGAATAAAAGACCTCGTCTCCAGATTCACTCCAGTAGATGAACGAATTGCCATAATCCGTATAAAAGCGAAGTTCTTCTACATCAGTCTCATTTGCGTCCTTGCCCCGACCGAAGATAAAGATGAACAGACCAAAGACATATTTTACGAGTGCCTAGAAACAGCATATGACTGTTGCCCTGGCCATGACATTAAAATTCTGCTAGGAGATTTTAATGCAGAAATCGGAAGGGAAAATATCTTTGGCCCCACCGTCGGAAAATTCAGCCTCCATGAAGAAACATCCGATAACGGCATGAGGTTGATTGACTTCGCGGCAGCATAAAACATGGTAGTTAGCAACACTAGATTCAAGCATCTCGATATACACAAGGCCACCTGGATCTCTCCTGATCAAGCAACGAGAAATCAAATTGATCATGTTGTGATAGACGGAAGGCATTCATCCAGTGTTTAGACGTACGATCGATCCGAGGAGCGAATATTGATTCGGACCATTACCTTGTGGCAGCCAAGGTACGCAACCTTCTTAATTTAGCAGCAAATGTGCGATCCAACACAACATGGAAACTCGTCGTCGAAAAGCTGCAAATACAACAGGTACCCGAGCACTTCTTGTCCCGATAATAATATAGAAGCACAATGTCAAAGAATTGCCCACTCCCTACAAACTGCAGCAAAAGCAACACTTGGATACCAAAAACCACCACCAAGAAACCCATGGTACGATGAGGAGTGTCGTAATGCTATTGATGTGAAAAACGCAGCGTATAGGGTAACCCTGCAGACAGTAACAACAAGTAACGTGATGTAGAATTATCGGGAGAAAAGGAGAGAGGAGAAACATGTTTTCAGAAAAAAAGAAGAAAGAACAAGAAAAACGTGAGCGTTAGTAAATCGAGAAGTACAGGAGTACGAATGAAGTCCGGAAATGTAGAATTATCGGGAGAAAAGGAGAGAGGAGAAACATGTTTTCAGAAAAAAGAAGAAAGAACAAGAAAAACGTGAGCGTTAGTAAATCGAGAAGTATAGGAGTACGAATGAAGTCCGGAAATTTTACCAACGAGTAAAACACCAAACCGAAGGCTTTGATGCAGGTACAACCTCCTGTAGAGATGAAGAAGGAAACCTGGTGACAGATACAGACAGCGTGTTGAGGATCTGGAAGGAGCATTTTGAAAAGCTTCTGGTATCAAATAGTGGTGGTGAAGAAGATACCCCAGAACCAATAAGAGATGATGGTATATAGTGTATACCACCTAGCCAAGATGAGGTCATAAAAGCAATTAATCGGCTCAAGAACAATAAAGCAGCAGGAGCCGATGGGTTACCAGTCGAACTATTCAAGACTGGTGGCCAGATACTGGTCAGGAGCATGCACCAGCTGATTAGTACAATTTGGCTATAGGAATGCATGCCCAAGGATTGGAACCACAGCATCCTGTGTCCCGTGCACAAAAAAGGAGACAAGACGATATGTGCCAACTGTAGAGGTATAAGTCTCCTTCCCATCGCATATAAAGTGCTTTCCGGTGTGCTGTGTGAACGACTGAAGCCAATGGTAAATGATATCATTGGACCATACCAATGCGGCTTCAGACCTGGCAAATCCATGACTTTTCAGATTTTCACTCTGCGCCAAATCCTGGAAAATACCCACGAAAAACCCATCGACACATACCACCTATTTGTCGAGTATAAAGCCGCAATCGACAGCCTATCCCTTCAGAGGTGTTTAAAGCAATGTCTACGTTCGGCATTCCTGCAAAATTAGTACGGCAATGCAGTATAACTTTAAGTGGCACAAGGTCAGCAGTTAAAGTAGGAAAGGACCTACAAGGACAAGGTGACAGTTTGTCGTGTGATCTATTTAACATCCTGCTCGAAAAGGTCATACGAGACGCAAAGGTGAACAGAAATGGCACTCTGTACACCAAACAACACATGTTACTCGCCTACGCCGATAACATCGATATAATGGGTCGAACATTGCGAGTGGGCTAGGGGCTATACAAGGCGTGGATTTTTTTATAGAACATTTTTTCCATATTTTTTTAGGGGCTATACAAGGCGTCGATTTTTGATAGAAAACTTTTTCATGAAATCAACCAACACTCACTTGATCTGCTTCATATATTTTTTCATAACTATTTGAACAAAATCTTTGTTGAGATTTCGCAAACTTTCTATTTTTACATTTTTTGGAAGTCCTAGTGTGTTGAAATTCTTTAACAATAAAACCAAACAAACAATCTAACTGGAATTTCATGAAAAACCCAACCAGTTGTAACACAATAACAAAACAAACAAAATTGGGGAAAACTAAATATTTGTAAAAGTTTATTTATGGTTAAATTGTTTTGTTTGTGTTTATTTCTGTTGTTGTTGTTATTGTCGTTGTTTTTAGTATTCCTACTAACTAACAACAGCTAAATTTATGTTTATATTCATGGTAGAAATGGTTAGTAACAAAAATATATAAGGACAAAAACAACAAATCAACATAAAAAAGGGTATAAAAAGAGATTGTCCGGGGAAATGAAGAACAAGTATTTTATATAATTTTCCATTTCTTTACTTTAGTTCAGTCGATAAAATAAACCAAGTACTTAAATTTCTATTTAATGATGATGATGAAAATAGAGATTCCATAAAGAATATTTTTTTAGTTGTTGTTATTTGTTTTGTTATTTCCCATGAACTTACCACAAAAAGAATGGCAGCCAACAGAGTATGAATGTACCCATGATTATACCTAATGTTCTTGCAGCCTTGTGTTCTCGTTTCATTTTAATTAAATGTTTATCTTTGGTCGGTGTATGATCCTGTTCGACCTCGTGCATTGTCAATTGTTTCGAGGAACCAGAACCGCTTAGAGCTTCACCTGGCACAAATAGAGAAAAAAGAAAAACGAAAAAATTAAGAAAATTAAATTTTCATTTCTCTGCATTTCAAATTGTAATAAAAAATAACGCATTTAGCAATAATAAATTATGAATATTTATGGCTTAAAATTAAAACTTATAAAATGGATAAAAAGAAAAACAAATTCTCTATTTTATTTTAATAGCCATAAAATAATGTTCTCCCCTTATGGCGTATGAGTAATATTTTATAAGCTATGTTGCTGTTTTACCCCAGTACATGTGTATGTATGAGCACTCGCATAACTTATACGCCACATAGAATGATTTAGGTTAACAGCTCCATATTGCTGCCTAGTTGTTAACAAACTAGTTGGCTTATGGCTGTTTTGGTTATCGTTTTATTTTCTCCAGTTTTTTTGCCATATTTGCAAAATTTATTTCACTTTGAGTTTTCAATTTTTTCCCACTAGCTGTTTTTATTACTTTTTGTTTTAAGTTGCGTTATTGTCGGGGTTTTTTTGTGTGTGTTCAGCTGCTTATCTGCATACGGAAGTTTATATGTGGACATAAATTTGTAATAACCCAGCATAACTTGGTGTATTGGGGGAAAGGGTTAGTTATTTTGTTGTCGCAGGGAAGAATGTATGGTATGACGGAAATAAAATATAACTTTGTATTCTCCCACATAAAAGAGTTGCAATGTATGTTACTGACCAATTATCAATAATCAAACGAAAATGCGGAATTAAAAGTCTTGGAAAGTGACAGATTTTTTGGAAATTCATACTAAATAGTTCTAAATAGTGTAGAATAGGTTTAAATCTAAATTTGTCTATATAGCTTCGCCATGAGGTAAGATCATAGGTCAGAATTATCATCGTATTGAGAATAAGGATTAACTCTGTTTAAATATATGAGAATCAGTTATGATTTGAATATAAAATCAACATATATTTTCGCCATACTCCATGTAAGTGGAGCGCCGAACTTCCAACGTTTGTCCGATTGACAGGAAATTGCCCATGTCAATTTGAAGTGTCAACAGAAAGTGAGTTGAGTTTATATTAAATTGTTTTAAATTTAGATATAACTCCACGTAGATTTTGATCCGATTTCAAGTGAACGGTGTTCCAAATATCCAAATTTGTCCCAATGACACAAAACGTTGCTTATTCTTTAAATAGAGTGGCATTTGAAAAAGTTTTATTAAAGTAGTACAACCAAGGTTTATTCATAAGGTTAACAAGGAGGCGAATTCGAAGTCTTCATTGACTGTCAAATTTATTGTTTGAAGAATAAATTAACAAAAAATATTTTTATTCGAACCAAAATATACGTGCACATTACTATCATTACCTTTTTTTGAAAGATATTTTGAATTTTTATCCTGTTCTGGCTGGTATTTCGCGATTAAAAAGTTGACAGCAAGAGAAGACTAAGCCATGAATTCGCCTGCCGGTTAACCTTATTAATAAACCTTGAGTACAAGCTTATTCTGGCTTATTTGTTATTGTTTTTTTTTTTTTTTTTTGTCAAGAATGACAGAATCACTGTCTAGTGTAGAAGTACATCAATTTGTATACCCTACTAAACTTGGGTGGGTCAAACGTCAGTTGGCTCGAAGAGTTTGTATCTCCGCGAAATATTGGTGCTGCAACATCTTCAATATACAGTCGAGATCTCTTATAACGACGGTCAGGGGACCGGTAAAATTGGTCGCTATAAACGACATGTCGTTATAAGCAATATCAAATAAACGGCAGAGTTTTTTCGGGACTTTAGATACTACCTTTATAACCAAAATGTTGTTATTAACGATGTCGTTATAAACGATTTAGACTGTACCCTATCCAAACTAGCTGAGTCGATCTAGACATGTGAGTACGCCCGTCCTTGAGTCCATTGTAATTTGTAAATAAAGTAAATGCTATAGTTATTGACTATTCGTCGCGAACTTTTGTATTCGGTTCTAGCTAACATGCTTATATATAGTGGATCAAAACCCTTATTTTGTATATTTTTCCGGTCGTCCTAGAGTTCACAATTATTACCCTATCACAACAAAATTGAACCTGGGATGTCGCGTTACTGGCGAGATAATTTGAGATGAATTTCACGCCACTTTTTGTTTTCGGTGGCCATCAGACAATATTTAGGGATGAAATGGGTCCAATTTTTTACTTTTGTCTATTTTTCTATTCGTTTCCGAGGCCACAATCATAAGCAGAACATTTCAAATTTTACACGGGGACCAATATTTAGCGGGTCTGATGCACCAAGATTTTTGTGTGTAAAATTACAAAATGATGCAAATGCTCACTCTGGTAAATCATTATTCCAAAAGGTTGCCAGTCTTGGAAATATGATCTAATCGAATTCTATTGATTGAAGAGGTCGAATATGTGACATATACTAAACGATTTTTAGCGGTCTGCATATTTGAATATTGCGAAATATAACCCAGGTTCGGAATATAGAACCTCCAAAAATTTAACTTCAGTGGTATTTGTGTAGGGTATCATATGGTCAACCGCTTCCAATTATATAGCCCGCTCATAAGGTTGACGATATAAAGGCAAAAATATGCTAGAATTTAAATTTTGGAGTTAGTTCCACATGTGGATAACCTATGGCCCTAATGTTCATGTTTCAAATTTCTCCGAAGACTTTAGGCAAATAAATTGGGGTATACCACTCAGAATTTCCCATCACACGTTTCAAATCGGGACATAGGCGAGGATTTTTTAAAAATATTTTTTTTCAAGGACTATAGAATGCATGGATTTTTTTCCAATGATTATATAAGGATTCGATTTTTTTAATTTTTTCCAACGACTATGCAAGGCGTAGATATTTCAAAGATTATTTTTCAAGGCATATTCAAGGCGTTGGTTTTTCAAAGAATAGAATTTTGTAAACAATATTTTTTTTTCAAGGACTACCTAAGACGTATATTTTTTAAAGAATATTGTTTTGAGGCCAAAACATGGTGTAGATTTTGTATAAAACTTATCTTTCAAGGACTACCCAATGTGTAGATTTTGTAATGGATATCTTTCAGGACTATCCAAGATGTCGATTTTCTAACGAATATTTGTTCTAGGACAAACCAATGAACTATCCAGCGTAAATTAAAAAGTTATGGACTATACAAGACTATATTTTTTCGGCGGACTATATAAGGCGTAAAGTTTTATACAATATTTAGAAATAAATAGTCCAAGGACGAATAACACTGTGAAACTAATGCAAGGTTATAATCTGCAATGGAAAACCTTGGTGAGTATATAAAAACATCAAGAATAAAAAATTCGCCATAATTTAAAGCAATTGTGAGAGTTTTTTTTCAAATTTTGCTTTTGCAAAATAGTCAGGCTGAATCCCAGTTTGTTGTTTTTATAAAAAACAACTATTTATTAGTGGGGAATGTATGGCATTGTTTGCCGTTTGCCGAATGACAAAATATTTTGTCATTCTCTCTTGATTCCTTGTGTGTCCTCTCTCGCCTTAATTTATTGCACTGGATATCAATTATCCCAAGATGCGATTTTTCATCCTCGCAATATTCTACATAATGTTGTGCATAAGATTTTAGTTGAGGTCCCCATTAGTTAGTATGTGCTTTCCGTCTCTGCCTCAAGTGATATTTTTCTTTACGCCTAACTGTTGGGAATATAAAATTTTTGGGTGAAGCGTATTATTTGATATTTAACTCTTCGCCTCCACTATGTTATCAATGGTTTCTGTACATCCAGAACGATAGTCTGGTAACAGAATAAGAAAACAAGCCTATTCGAAGTTTGGTAGTAGCTTTTAAAAATAGAAATTCTTCTACTGATTAAGTCCTTTTAAGAGGACCAAATTCACTCTCGGTAGTAGAAAGTCAGCCTTTCCCATATTATGATGGCAGAACTATGGCCAACAGCACATCAGCAAAAATATATATTTATTATTACTTTTTGTTTTAATTTCCCACAAACTGCTGAAGGATAGAGGGGAGGATGGGTCTATACAAAAGTAGTGAAATAGTTTGCTAACAAATAATGGTGAAATCATCAAATTCAAATACTTTTTGGTTTTTGTAGCAATAAGTTTGATTGATTTGAGTGAAGAAAATTATTAATTTCTTAATTAGTTTCATTCGGGAATTCTTATGAAACTAGTTTTAAAAGTTTATGAGAAATAATATTTACAATTTTGTAGTAGTGGTTTCATTACTTACTTCCAGTTCCCGCCACCGTTGAATGACGATGCATCAGCATTGCATTGCCATGCCGCATCATCATCTGTTTCTCTTGACGATTCGCCTCACGAAATATAGCCAAATAGGTGAATATCATTATCGTACAGGGTATCCAAAATGATATCGAACTTGAGATGACACAATAGGGTTTATTCACAATAAAGGAGCACACATCCGGATGTAATTTCACATAGTTCTTATGATGATCGGTGGTATACCAGCCAATGAAAATGGGCAGAAATGAGAGCAGGGCTGGCGAAATCCATGTATTGAGTATCATAATGCCGACGACACGTTTTGTCATGCTGATGGGATATTTTAAAGGCTTAACAATGGCATAATATCTGAAAATAAGGAAGAAATGAAAAAAAAAAATATATTAAATTGAAGAAGATTCGTATATCAAGGGAAATACAAGGCGTGAATTTTTTAAAAAAATATTTTTGAGGGTCTATACAAGGTGTGGATTTGTTAAACAATATTTTTCAGGGTCTTTACAAGGCGTGGAGTTTTTAAAGAATATTTTTCAGGGTCTTTACAAGGCCTGGAGTTTTTAAAGAATGTCTTTCAGGGTCTTTACAAGGCGTGGAGTTTTTAAAGAATATTTTTCAGGGTCTTTAGAAGACCTGGAGTTTTTAAAGAATATTTTTCAGGGTCTTCTCAAGGCGTGGAGTTTTTAAAGAATATTTTTCTGGGTCTTTACAAGGCGTGGAGTTTTTAAAGAATATTTTTCAGGGTCTTTAAAAAGCCTGGAGTTTTTAAAGAATATTTTTCAGGGTATTTACAAGGCGTGGAGTTTTTAAAGAATATTTTTCAGGGTCTTTAGAAGGCCTGGAGTTTTTAAAGAATATTTTTCAGGGTCTTTACAAGGCGTGGAGTTTTTAAAGAATATTTTTCAGGGTCTTTACAAGGCGTGGAGTTTTTAAAGAATATTTATCAGGGTCTTTAGAAGGCCTGGAGTTTTTAAAGAATATTTTTCAGGGTCTTTACAAGGCGTGGAGTTTTTAAAGAATATTTTTCAGGGTCTTTACAAGGCGTGGAGTTTTTAAAGAATATTTATCAGGGTCTTTACAAGGCGTGGCGTTTTTAAAGAATATTTTTTCAAATTAAAAAATTTACGCCTTCTAAAAACCCGTGACAAAAAATCTTTAAAAAATCCACGACTTGTATAGACCATTGAAAAAAGGATCTTTAAAAAATCCATGCCTTGTATATACCCTTGAAAAAATCCACGTCTTCTAATATCTAACCCATGAAAAAAGAATCTTTAAAAAATCCACGCTTTGTATAGACCCTGAGAAAAATTTTTATACTAGGCGTGGATTTTTTAAAGAATATTTTTTAAGCCTCTATATAAGACGTGGATTTTTTAGAGAATATTTTTCAAGCCTCTATATAAGGCGTGGATTTTTTAGAGAATATTTTTTCAAGGGTCTATACCCGGCCTGTATTTTGGAGAATATTTTTTCAAGTGGAGAATATTTTCTCAAGCGTCTATAAATAGCGTGGATTTTTTAAAGAATATTTATACCCTTCACCACACGGTGGTACAGGGTATTATGTCTTTGTGCATATGTTTGTAACAGGCAAAAGGAAAACAGATAGACCCATAGTTCCTTTTGAGGATATGCATCGAATCACTTTCTCAGTCGATTTATGCATGTCCGTCCATCCGCCAGTCTGTCTGTTGGTGTTAAATTGTACAGGTCGCATTTATTATCCGAATTAGATGAAATTTGGCACAGTTCATTTATTTGGCCCAAGGATAGGGTTCGTCCTATTGGGAAAAATCGGTTCAGATTTAGATATAGTTCACATATATATTTTCATACGAATGGTGCACCAAAATCCCTACATATCTTTCGAATTGTACTAAATTTGGCATAACGTACTGAATTGAGCCTACAATGATGTCTGCCAAGTTTCGGGAAAATCGGTCCAGATTTAGATATAGGTCCCATATATATTTTCGTCCGATTTAATGTAAATGGTGCACCAAAGTCCCTATATAGCTTTAGATTTGTACGAAATTTGACGTAAGTTACTGAATTGAGCCTGTCTGCTGAGTTTCGTGAAAATCGGTCCAGATTTAGATATAGCTCCCATATATATAGTTTCGACCGATTTAATGTAGATGGTACACCAAATTCACTATATATCTTTGGATTTGCACGAAATTTGGCATAACATACTGAATTGAGACTGAATCTGCCAAGTTTCGGGAAAATCGGTCCAGATTTAGATATAGCTCCCATATATAGTTTCATCGGATTTTATGTAAATGGTGCACCAAAGTCCCTATATATACTTCGATTTGCACGAAATTTGGCATAACATACAGAATTGAGTCTAGAGTGATGTCTGCCACGTTTCGTGAAAATCGGTTCAGATTTAGATATATCTCCCATATATATTTTTGTCCGATTTTAGGGAAATAGTGCACCAAAGCCCTAATATATCCTTCGAAAATAAGGATATATTAGGGCTTTGTAACCTAACATGTGACAGGTTTCGATGAAATCGGTTTAGATTTCGATATTTTGCTTTAAATTTATTTACATAATTTTATCCCATTGTAAGAAGCAACTCTATATCTGACCAAAATTTAGTATATGTTGCAGAATGACGTGTTTAATTTCATGTTAGTGGTCTGTTGGATATACCCAAAGTGGTGTAGGGTATCATATAGTCGGCCCCGTCCGACTTTACTGCTTTTCTTACTGGTTTAAAGTATATTTTTTCAAGGCTCTATACAAGACGTGGATTTCTTTAAAAAATATTTTTTCAAGGCTCTATACAAGGCGTGGGTTTTTAGTTCTTAGTTATATTTACGGTAGTTAAAAAGTTTTTGAACGGAAATTTTGTAAATTTAGAGACTTAAAATGATTTCATCATGGTCCTGAATATCAATTCACTTCTCTGCTTAATTAAAATAATTTCCTAACCAACAAAAAAGTTTAAATATTTTTCCTCTACACAACTTCAATTAAAGCAATAAAATGCAAATTCAAGTTGAAAACGCTCCATTTTTGAAGTGTTAACACTTAACTTTAATGGCAAAACACTTTCGGTATTATCTTCAGCTGAAGATACGTAAAACGAACTTCAACACCATTTCCCGACATTGCCCATTGCATTTTAGTGGGTAATCCAAGAAAAATCCATTAACGGTGTGTTTGTCCTTTTCTCGAAAAATATCTTCAACAGGAAATTCGGCACTCTTTGCACCTTTCGCTGGCACAATTTTTTTCTAGGTAGCTGCCAAAAAGCAGAAGCCTTTAGAAAAAATTGGTCACAATGAAAGTGAAAATCTGAATATTTATCATCAGCAGTTCCGTTACAAAACGAAACGAAAAAGAGAGAACTCAAATGGGAAAGAGAACAAACCGAATAAAGTGAATGCTAATGTGTGAAGACATTACGTCGTTACTTCTGCTTGTGGTGGGGCAAATGGGAAATGCAGAAGAACCCATCCGAAGGGAATCCGTTGAAAAATATGCTGTCCCATTCGTAGCTGCCGGCATGGGACTGATAACTTTGGTGCCAATCATTATCCTCATCAATGGCACCACAAAAACGAGAAATCGAATTGGTCATTTTCGTAGCCCAATGCAGAACAATGAAAAATTATGCCTCCCCTTGCTCAAAGTCAATTGCCCTGCAAAAAGTCATTGCAATGAATGAAACGATAAAACGATGGGGGATCGTTTGGTTAGTTGCCACTCCGTCTGTCCGTATGCTCCCCTTACAAGTGTTGCAATTTCCATTCTGTAAGATTCTTGCGAATCTTTGCATGGCCATTTGCGGAATGAAATGACCACACATCATGCAGTGGCCAGTCGTCAGTAACAGCCAGATTGTAGTCTATTCGCATTTGACCAGAAGAAGAACAAGAAAGGATCAAATGTAACCATTTGACTGTAAACGTTTTGAGGCGTCACAACACCCTCCCATCTCGAATAATTCTCAACCAACAAATGAAAGTTCCACTTTGCAAACAGAGATATGCTCATGAAGCCACCACCCGCTTGAATTACTCTCGTTGGCGAATGATGTGTGTGTATGTGCGTCTGTGGGTGTGCAATTAAATGCAAAGGCAATGAAATATCTTTTCAAGGAATCATTCCGTCGACAAGGGAAAACATATTTTTCCGAATTTCAATGGGCATACGGAATGAAAGGATGAATATTTATTGGGTATATTGTATTTGTGCAGGCATATGGATGGAATTATTATTTATCCTTTTTGTAAAAAGAAATGGGATAGGAGATTGTGAGAGAAAACACAATGTTGGATGGGTATCAATGGTGTTTGTTTTTCGTAAAGTGTTGAAATAGAGGATTTGGCAGGATGGACCAGAAGGACTCTTTAAAAAAGGAAGCCTATTGTGGCCTCTGGAAAAAATCCACGCTGTTGGTCTTTAAAAAATCCAGTATTATTGGTTCTAAAAAACAAAACCTTTTAAAAAATTCACTCTTATTGGTCTAAAGGTCCTTGTAAGAAAGTATTTAAAAATACATGAAAAAAAAATCCTTTAAAAAATGCACGCCTTTAATGCTGCCTAAAAAAATAATATTTAAGATATAAAAGACTCCGAAAAAATATTCTTTAAAAATCGAAGCATATTGTGGCCTCTGAAAAAAATATTCATTAAAATTCCAAGCCTATTGTGGCTCTATAAAATATTCTTTAAAAATCGAAATCGTGGCCTTAAAAAAATATTCTATAAAAATTTACTAAGCTCCTAGTCACTGAAAAATATTTCTTTAAAAATTATTCTACGAGACCTGAAAAAAATGTTCTTTAAAAATTCTACTACCATCGTAGCCTCTGAAAAATATACTTTGGAATAAATATACTTTGAAAATTCTTCTCTCCTCGTAGCCCCAGAAAAATGTTTCTTTAAAAATTCTTCTCCCCACGTAGTCCCTGAAAAATTGTTGTTTAAAAATTCTACTACCCTCGTTCATTACGCTGTGCCAAATTTCGTGCAAATCGAAAGATATATAGGGACTTTGGTGCACCATTTATATTAAATCGGACGAAAATATATATGGGACCTATATCTAAATCTGAATCGATTTTTCCCAAGTTCAATAGGGTTCGTCCCTGGGCCAAATAAATGATCTGAGCCAAATTTCAACTCATTCGGATAATAAATGCGACTTGCACTTTGATTAAGTTAAACATGGACGGACAGACGGACATGCATAAATCGACTCAGAAAGTGATTCTATGCATATTCTCAAAAGGAACCATGGGTCTACCTCGAATTCTTTTGCCTGTTACAAATATGATACCCTGTACCACAGTGTGGTGAAGGGTATAAATATTCTTTAAAAAATTCTCGCATATTATAGCCCATGCAAAAATATTCTTTAAAAATCCATTCTTATAGGTCCTTGAGAAAATTTTATTTAAGAAGGCCACACCTATAATGGACTGTAAAAAATATTCTTTAACAAAACTTCGGTCCATAAGAAGGTCCTTGAAAAAATTTTTTTTAAAAATATCCACGCCTTGATAAGATATATTTTTAAAAATCCTCGCCTCTGAAAAAATATTTTTTAAAATATCCTCCCCTCTGAAAAAAATTGCTTTAAAAAATCTAAGCCTGATTTAAAAAAAAAAAAAATAGACGGGGCCGACCATATGATACCCTACACAACTTCCACGGACAACTAACTTTGTGTAGATCTATATTCTGAGCTTGGCCAATATTTCACGATTATTGAACCATCTGGACCATCTAGAGGCTGAAAACTATTACTAATGTTCAGTACAGCCCTTCTAATTACTTGTCCAGATTCCCTTCCCTTGTTTTGTGATCTTCTTATTCCCATTGGAGCCTATAGATCGACAAAAAATTAAGTTTTCGGTCCACCGATCCTAATCAAAAGAGGCATGCTTATTCTTTGGCCCGATCCCCTTCTCTATGTAAAAATTCGCGATGTTTGGGTCATAATTGCGGCCTCTAGAGCGACCAGAAAAACCGATAAAAATTAAGTATTTGGTCCATTTCATCCCCTAGATATTAACCGATCTTTAGCAAAATCAATAGGGGTCTTCATTGGGCAGAACCCATCGTGAAGATTGGTCCATAACTGTGGTCTGTATTGTGCTTACCAAATATAATGGACAGACGGAAGGACGGACACACATGTCTAGACCGACTCAGATAGTCGAGATATGACGATCGGTATACTTAAAGGTGGGTCTAGGACCAATATTTCGCGGCGTTACAAACTCTTGGGGCTGCACAAAGCTATAATACCCTGACAACATAGTTGTCCACAATTTTTGTGGTAATACATCTTGGAGATATTGTTTTTAAATCGGCATATATAGCTCCAATAGTGGTTGAGAGAATAATGTTAGTTTCAGAATTTTCTGTACTTACCTATCGACTGATATACAGCATAAATGCAATATGCTTGCAGTTGAAAAATAGACATCCAGACTATTCCACAAATCGCATAGGAATGGACTGAAAAGCCAGCTGGAAATGAAAAGAGAGAAAAATAAACAAATTAAATAACTTCAACTTCAAACTACAATTTTAAATAAAATATAGAACATATTCGAATATTAATTTAATGTGATGAAATTGAAATACATGAAAATGTTCCATTTATGAATTGAATAGAAACCACGTCTTTAAGTTTCATACATAAAAACATATGGAGGTCTTTAACATTTTTGAAGTAATGCTTTTGCTTCTTTAGATGATTGTTTTCAAATGTCCATGATGCGTATGTATATGTTCCTATATATGTATATGTTCGTATATGTGTATTAACATCCTACCATTTTCCATTATTGGCCATTAGAGAAATCATTGAAAATGGTCAGATCAGACATTTTCCCCGTACACTCATATGTTGAACGTTATCTTTTATTTCCTTAACGAATTCGAATGACTCTGGCATTTATTCATATGTGTTTTGAATATTTTATGAAATAACAGAGTGTTACTAAAACACACACATATACACACACACACAAAAATAGAAACTAACATGTATTTGTTGCCAAACATGGAATGTTATTTTTTAACGAAATAACGAAAAACTGAAAATTGAATTAAAGACACATGCAAATGGTTTTCAATATTCATAGCATCCAATAATCAAATTATGATATTTATATGAAAATTGAAACAAGTTTTTAAAATTAATACATTTATAGAAATACATATGCATATACACATGTATGTATAAGTGGTAGTAGGTTGTTGACTGCTGGATAGCTATAAAACAATAACGAAGTGCTATGCTTTTTATATTGTTAAGATGTGTTAAAAATTTTCGTTATACTATTCCAAAAAATTTAGAAATTAAAAAAAAAACAGTAAGGAAAGTAGTAAAGTCGGACGGGGCGTCTATATGATCCGCTTCACCACTTTGGGTATATTCAATAGATGAATCCTAACAGATGTCGCGTTTTTGGACCATTAATATGAAAATGGATCCATAAACATTTCATTCTTCAACCTATAATTCTTGTTCTTCTTCTTATAATGGGACAAAATTATGTAAATAAATAAGCAAATATCAATCCGGGTGTCCGATTAGATAAATTTGAATAGTTTGGTACACTGTTTACTAAAAATCGGACCAAAATATACATGGGAGCTATATCTAAATATGCACCGATTTTCAGGAAACTTGACACACATCATTCTAGACTTAATTCAGTACGCTATGCCAAATTTCATGCAAATCGAAAGATATATAGGGACATTGGTACACCATTTACTTTTAATCGATTGAAAATTTATATGGGGGCTATATCTAAATCTGGACCAATTTCCAGGAAACTTTACACACATCATTCTAGACCTAATTCATTACGCTATTCCAAATTTCGTGCAAATCGAAAGATATCTAGGGACTTTGGTACACCATTTATCTTAAATCGGACGAAAATATATATGGGATCTATATCTAAATCTGGACCGATTTTCAGGAAACTTAACACACATCGTTCTAGACCTAATTTAATACCCTGTGCCAAATTTCGTGCAAATCGAAAGATATCTAGGGACTTTGGTACACCATTTACATAAAATCGGACTAAAATATATATGGAAGCTTTATCTAAATTTGGACCGATTATCACGACACTTGGCGGACATAACTCTAGCCTTAATTCAGTACGTTGTGCTAAATTTCTTGTACATCGAAAGATATATAGGGACTTTGGTGCACCATTTGCTTTAAATCGGACGAACTTATATATGGAAGCTATATCTAAATCTGAACCGACTTTTCCCAATTTCAATAGGGTTCGCCCTTGGGCTAAATAAATGAGCTGTGCCAAATTTCATCCAATTCGGTTTATAAATGTGACCTGTTTGTTTAAAATTTAACACCAACAGACGGACATGCATAAATCGACTCAGAAAGTGATTCTATGCATATTCTCAAAAGGAACTCTAGGTCTATATCGCTTCCTTTTGCCTCTTAAAAACATATGCACAAAGACATAATACCATGTACCATAGTCTCGTGAACCGGTGAGCGGAGCAGTATATTCGGACGGGGCCGACCATACGACACCCTACACAACTATCACGGAAATCTAACTTTATGCGGATGTTTATTCCGAGCCTGAGCAATATTTCGTAACATTTGCACCCTCTTGCCCGATTAGAGGTCAACAGCACCGCTCCCATACACTGACATAATTTCCGAATATTTTTAATATTCAGTACAGCCCTTCTAGTTACTTGTCCAGATTGCCTTCGCCGTGGGTTGTATGGTGATGTTCGGCTTATAACTGTGGCCTATAGATCAATTCGAAAAATACAAAAATATTATGTTTACGGTCCACTTCATCCCAAAATTATTATCTGATCATCACCGAAAATTATCGGCGTTGTCCTTGACCATAACTGGAACCCCACGAAAAATGTCAATGTGATCAACGCTATCTTTCCGTCCTCTACTATGGTAATGGGTTACTAAATAATATATGAATACATAAGCACCTGTAAATATTTAAGTGTAACTCACACATCCAAGTACATACGACAAAATAATTGGTATCGATTTAAAGGTCAACCACTCCTCTTGGATATATTATCAACTTCTCGGGTCTATGTCCTTTAGGAGTAAATATATACGCCATAGAATACAAATTTTGTAATTTTTCACCCAAAAGTCAGGGTCCATTTGATCCGTTTAATATTGACCAATATTTATCAAAGCTAGCATGCTCATTCTTTGGCCCGATACCCTTCCCCATGTAAAAATTCGCGATGTTTGGGCCCTATTTTCGGCCTCTGGAGCGACCAGAAAAACCGAAAAAAATAGTATTTGGTCCATTTCATCCCGTAAATCTTTACCAAAAACAATAGGGGTTTTCATTGGGCAGAACCCATCCTACATGCACAATTTCGTGAAGATTGGTCCATAACTGTGGCCTGTATCGTGTTTACAAATTATAATGGACAGACAGACGAAAGGACACACATGTCTAGATCGACTCAGCTAGTCGATATAGGACGATCGGTATACTTAAAGGTGAGTCTAGGACCAATATTTCGCGGCGTTACAAACTCTTGGGGCTGCACAAAGCTATAATACCCTGACAACATAGTTGTGTAGGGTATAAAAAAACTGAAGGGTTTTCGGAATATTTCCCTTTAAAAGAACATAAGACAAAATGCGTGGACTTGTTTAAGAATATTTTGTTAAGTACCTTTACCATAAAAAGAGAAGATTTAAAAAAAATGTTTGTGGCGACCATCAAAGGAATAGGCCTGGATTTTTTTAAGGATATTTTTTCAAGGACCATCATCACAATAAGCGCGGATTTTTTAAAGAATATTTTCCAAGGACCTTCACCACAATAAGGGCGGATTTTTTAAAGAATATTTTTTCAATGATCAGCCTAGGAATATTTTTTAAATGTGTATATTTTTAAATATTTGTAAGGAATTAAATGGCTTTTTAACTTGTTAAAAAATATATTTTTATTTTAATTAATTTTTTTATTCAGATTTTAAAGGCCTGTTTGCACACTACTTTGAGTCCTTGTATTTGTTTTAATTTCGTTGCTTTATAATTACTGTGAATTTGGTATATTACACTGCCATTGTAGAATGTCATCAAGTGAAAATTACGAAACTGGGTAATAATGAATGTGGATATATTAGGGTGGCCACATAATAAATATGTAGTTCTCGTGAAAAATTATTAAATGTGAAACAATTTTCTGCAAAAATGTTATTTTCCTCATTAACATGAAAAAAAAAATAAAATTAAGCAAAAATAAAATTCTTTAAGAACTTGCCCGATATTTTTTACAACTAACCCACCTTTGTATACAGCCCACATTAGTTACACTCCGAATGATTTACCAACGAAATTTTATTTTGAAATACATTTAATTACCATGAAAGTTTTCAGTTTTTTTCTGTTTATTTATAAAAACGCTGACTTGCCGGCATACTTCATGTTGGTTTGTTTGTTCTTGGGCTACGCCCCTCGCCAACTGTTACCACTTTCATTTAAAAAATGTCTGTTAGGAAGTTCTTAGGCTCATTGGAGTTTTCAAATCAATGCAGCAAAAAAATGTGACCCAATTAAATTAAATTTAAATCATGTCTCTACTACAGCGATATGCCATGGGGGCAGTTTGTTGAGGGTATTTCTTTGTCAGCCACATAACTAGGTTGGCATTTGAGTTTTGTTTTTTGCACTGCGGTATAGTGAAATTGTTTTAAAGTTTGAAATATAGAAATAAAATGAAGTAGCTCCACATTGGAGCACAAAAAATAGTTGAGCAAGCACATTGAGGCCAATGGAAGTTCGAGACAGAAAAAATATTCTTTAAAAAATCCACGCCTTGTATAGACCCTTGAAAAAATATTCTTTAAAAAATCCACGCCTTGTAAGACCCTTGAAAAAATATTCTTTAAAAAATCCACGCCTTGTATAGACCCTTGAAAAAATATTCTTTAAAAAATCCACGCCTTGTATAGACCCTTGAAAAAATATTCTTTAAAAAATCCACGCCTTGTATAGACCCTTGAAAAAATATTCTTTAAAAAATCCACGCCTTGTATAGACCCTTGAAAAAATATTCTTTAAAAAATCCACGCCTTGTATAGACCCTTGAAAAAATATTCTTTAAAAAATCCACGCCTTGTATAGACCCTTGGAAAAATATTCTTTAAAAAATCCACGCCTTGTATAGACCCTTGAAAAAATATTCTTTAAAAAATCCACGCCTTGTATAGACCCTTGAAAAAATATTCTTTAAAAAATCCACGCCTTGTATAGACCCTTGAAAAAATATTCTTTAAAAAATCCACGCCTTGTATAGACCCTTGAAAAAATATTCTTTAAAAAATCCACGCCTTGTATAGACCCTTGAAAAAATATTCTTTAAAAAATCCACGCCTTGTATAGACCCTTGAAAAAATATTCTTTAAAAAATCCACGCCTTGTATAGACCCTTGAAAAAATATTTTTTAAAGACCATGCCTTG